CAAGAGCTGAACAGGTTGCTCAATTGGTAGCATTTCATCAACACCTCCTCGTGGTCCGGATTCACTTCTCCCACTGGCATCGTCGGTAAGAACACGATACTGATGCTCGCGACCGGAACGACGCTTAAGTTGTGGACGGAACACCATCGCTCCAGAGTCGTGCGGATTGTGTAATTCGAGTTCTTGGTGACGAGGTCCTTGTTGAATTACTTGGGAAGTGTGTTGATGTTGTTCGTTGTTCATATTTTTTGCAAGATAATGATTGCTTGTCTCACTCGAAGGTGTGTTACTGATGTCATTGTCAGAACTCGGTACTTCCATCTCCACATCTTCGACAATTTCGTGCTCTTCCATTTCAACATCTTCATCACCATCTTGTTGCAAGTTACTTGGTTGATCTCCATGTTCTACCAACATCGCGTGCTCATACTCCACATCAAGAGTGTACACGCTTCTCATGCGCTTCGCAGAAATCATCAACACATTATCCTTGTAGATACCGCAGTATTTTTCACCGAATCGAACGTTGTACCCACGCTGGACGATCTTGGGCACCGCTAGTAGTCGTCTGTCCAGCGTTGGAATGTGCAATACTTCATTCACAGTCACTGCTGTACCATTCGTACAGCGAAATCGAATGCTTCCTCGTCCAATTGCATTCATGACCGCACCATCGGCAACGCGAACTTGAATGGCTTCTCTCAATTTCTCGTACTCAAAGAAATCTTCTTCGGCTGGGGTCATATGTGACGAGGCGCCGCTGTCCAACAACCATCCTTTTTTTTAATCCGTTTGTGGCCGTGAATGCCATTTCATTTCCATCATTCTTGGTGGCAGATCGGCACTCAAACTGCTTGTGTCCGATCTTGTTACAGCGGTGACACTTCCCACGAAACGGCTGTTTCTTCTTCCAGCTCTCTTCTGCACTACGTTGTTTGCGCATTCCACGACCACGATCCTGTTTATGGCCTCCACGACCAACGCGGAAAGCTCCTTCGGAGACCTCTTGCTGCTGCTTCTTCTTGTGTTCCTTCAACAGCTTTTCTTTCACGTCCACCATCGTCACACCCATGGAATTCTCAATGATGGACACAATCATCTCGTACTCTGCCGGTAAGCTACTCAGCAGAACTGTCATCTGGCGTGCGTCGTCCATGGTATCGCCCACCGCCTCCATACTCAAAACAAGTTCATCGAAACGGTCGAGGTGGCTCACCATGTCGCCTCCCTCATCCATACGAAATTCGTGCAATCGACGTGTCAGTGCCACTCGATTCTGAAGGTTTGTCTTGTTGTAGTAGTCGCGTAGTGTTTCCCATGCTTCCTTCGCAGTGCGAGCATGTCGGATCTTCGTCTGATGCTTTACTTCGATCCCTTGAGCAATAATAGCAAACGCCTTCATGTCCTTGACCTTCCAATCCTCCGTCATCTCCTGCTCCGACTTCACTTCCAAGATGTGCTCTAGCAGGCCCTTCCTCGCAAGTGTCATCTTCATATTGAATTCCCAATGGAAGTAGTTGTCTGTTCCAAGCAGGTCATCGGGTTTCTTCATCGTACTGGCTTCTGGCAGAGGTCCTTAAGCTCTTGGGCTCATAACCTGTTATGTCGAAGGAAAATTGGAAAGTGTATTGAATTAGTTTTCCTATGAACTTACTCGTCGTGTTATCTTCTTCTACCTTGTAGCTTTCCCTGATCTTGATGGATTCTAGAACATACACTCAAGGTAGTTCTAGAATCATCAGACTGCACGTGAACCGTTTACACCCTGTCGTATCATCGCTGTCTTGTCACTTGTGCGTAGCAAATCACAGTTGGCTTTGTTGACCGTGCATTGACAGTGCACCCATCAACAGGATGTTTGTTCAGTGTTGCCTTGTTTAGCAAAGGTGGTGTAGTTGCGATTTGTACCTCTTACGTGTCATCTTATCGCAGTCACAGAGCCCCATGCCTGCCAAGCGTGTAATGCAAATGACACATAGGATTACTAGGCAGATGAAGACACGCATCTGACACAAGATGTATTCTCTGTTCAGCGTTAGCTACATGTCCTTCGGAGCTACTATTGTTTCACACAGTCCATTCACAAGTGCTTTTGGCTCTGCAAAACCTTGTGCTCAACTCACTGCAAACATAGAAGACATTGACCAGCAACCGATGTTCGACCACTGTCTTCGGCAGGAAAGACCAGAGTACTATGCATGTAAGCTTTATCGGATCAGCGTGTATTTGTCAGAAAAAGATGAAACGCCCCCATGAGTTACGCGTCCAAACAACACAACTCCGCAACGGGGCATGTATGTGTACATAAACTAACGAGCGCAAGTCTAAACATTCTCTGGGTTGATGACAATCCACTGCTGGTTCGCGTTGTTGGACGAGCAGCCGTAAAGCTGCACCCTGTTGCCCTGCGCAGGGTCCGTGTCGAGGCAAAAGCCCTGGTGCTTCATGTGCCTCAGCGTCCCAGTCGCGCTGTAAAACATCCACTTCTGGTTGGCCTCCTGATCCATGCAGCGGAACACGTGCACGATGCCACCGTCCCACCCCTGGTAAGCATCCAGGCACCGATCACTGCTCTTCGAGCGCACCTGCTGCGTGGCAGCGTCGAAGAACCACACTTGCTGCTCTTGCACCAGCCAATCATTCGACTTACCCGACATGTACAGATTGCCGCCCTTCTCCGACAGCAGCAGTCTCGTACCGGCATTGCGAATAGCACGGGGGGTTCTCACTCCAACGGTCAGCTGCTGGAAGCTGCTCTTCATCATGTCATCCTCCCTGAACACGCCAAAGTCGGCCTCCACCTCCTTACCACCGTTCGTCACGCGCCACTTGGAGTCGAACGCAACGTACCAGTAGTACTCAAAGTTGTGCGCGGTGGCCATCAGGTGATAGTCGGCAAAGAACTTGACCTGGTTTTCGGGGGACGCGATGCCGGCCCCAACGTCGAAGCCACCCGAGCTCCAGCCCACCTCGGAAATGACAACTTTCTTGTTCTTGCTGGCTGCTAAAGTGCGCAAATTCCTCAGTCGGTCCAGAGTCACAGCCGCACCTTCGTTCACGTCTGACTTCTCCCAGAAGGAGAACTGGTTCACCGACACGTAATCCACAGCGTCCACGAGCTTCGGGTTGAGGTTGTAGATGTCGATGGTGTCCGCAATCGTGACGGGTGTGTTCTTCCCGCGACTTCGAATGTAAACACGAGTTTCGTTCATGTATCTGATAGCTGTGTCAGCACTGATCTCCTTGCGGTAAATAGTTTCACTGCCGACGTGCAGCCCAATGACGTTGTTGTCATACAGACCCGTGTCAATGAGTGCAGCTAGCTTTGCCCTCTCTTGCAAAAGGTAACTGTGGCTCGCTGTCGTCCAGATGCCAAGATGCACTTGCAAACCAGCTCTCTTGGCTGCTGGCAGCACTAGTTCGGCCTGGTTGCAGTCCAGCAGCGAGTAGATACGGACCTTGTCCGTGACAGCCTTCAGAGCGTACATGTCCCGCTGAATTTCAGCCGCGTTTTTGCACTTGGAGCTTTCGGGAGCCCAGTCCGGACCCTTGCGCGTATTGTAGTTCATACCAGGCATCTTGACGTTGAGACCGTCAGCGTTGTTGCCCGACAGCACGAGCAGGACCGAAGCGACGGTAGTCAGGAGGAAGTATTTCATTGAGAATGCGCTTGTCGGAATGAGGTCGGCAGTCGGAGAGTGTTTCGTGGTAACTTTTTACAGGAAGGCCAGACGACGATGTGGTCGATTGCTGTAAAAATTGAAAGTGAGAGAGTATCGCGCAAAATGGCACGAGCTGTCGGTGGAAGACGTTTTGTGTCTGTCGTCTGTCTACCTCTGCCAGCGGCCGAGATACGACGACCGATTGATCGACTGGCAAAAACGTGGCTACCTGCACATGAAACCGAATGATTTGGTAACGGTAACGGAGCTACGACCGCATCTTACACCCATTTGAAAAAATTAAACCACACGATCGTGAGAGAGAGATGCAGACGATCGTGCATCGACAAATGATGCCGAGCTCTCACCCCGTCCCGACATCGATACGATTTACTCGCGACACTCAGATGACCCCTGGACGATCGGGTTTTCGCTGGTAAACTTTTCCTCTGGTCGTAGCGTTGTTGAAGAGCGAAGGTACAACTTTTTTGAGCGTGACTGGACACTCGCGCGTCATTGCAGTCCGTTTTTACTGCTTCTCTTATTACGCTTCGATGCAACGCTCCTTGATGGTCGCAAGGTACCGATCGTAGTGCGAGCTATCGTGCCTGTTCAACAACAACACGTGTACATGGTGCTGTACATATACGCACATCGTCGTGCGTTGTACGACTGGCAAAAGATACAATGACGTGGTGTCAAAAAGCGGTGGAATGCTGACGCCCGACTTGAGCCTACTTGGCTGCTTTGTCAACAAATCAAAACAACTGCCGCGACGCATACCGATAGCGTTTCAATCAGCGTGGTGTATAAACAAGCTGCAGACTTGTTTCTACGTCACGCAACTCCCTTCAGCGTCAGCTGTGCAACGTGTGCCTGCAGTCGACGTCGCACGACTCTGAGGTACGTGCGAAAAGTCATGGAACAGTTTTTGGCCTGGTCTAACCGAGAGAAACGTTGAAGACCGGCAGTTTCGGGCTGTGCACTAGAAGGAGGATGCGGGAAGACTGTAAAAAATGAACGCGTACATGCACCGCCACAAAGTGCACGTCCGGTTTGCTGCTTTTGTCATGAATTTCGCTCCTCACATGACGTCTATTTACACTTCGTATGCATCCTACCATTACAAAACGGCAACTGCGTAAATTCTAAACTCGCTTTTCTGCAAAAAAAGCAAACATGGCACCAAACAAACGCTTTCGCTATGAAACCTTTCGAAACGATTCCGTTTGCGAGGTTCAGTCTCAAGTTGTTGTTCGGCAACTGCAGAAGATCGAGCAACTTTGTCTAACTCCCACTCTCTCACATCAAACGCATATCGTGTCCCCGATCGACGTCATGGCGGCCAAGTACGTCGTGAACAGCGAGCTCCGCGGCCATGAGGGCGCAGTCCGCTGCATCGCGTGCCTGTCGACCGACACATTAGCTACTGGTGCGATGGACTCTGTAGTGCGCGTCTGGATGCGTGACTCGGACGCTGCGGTGCGCAGCTTCTCAGCCGTAGAAAGCGCAAGTATCTTTGACCACGAGCACTGGGTCACGGCTAGCGTGGCGCTGGCCGATGGAGAACTTGCAACTGGCAGTATGGACAAGCGCGTTCGTCTGTTTGACGCGCAGGGTCAGCGCGTGGGACTGCTTTGCGGGCACGAAGGAGGTGTCATTTCATTGGCTCTCTCTACAGACAAGAAGCTGCTGCTCTCTGGCAGTTGGGACGGCACAGCGCGTGTCTGGAGCTTGGAGACGCAGAAGTGTCTGCACGTCTTACCTGGTCATGAGAACGGCGTCTGCGTGCTTGGACTGCCTGATGGCTCAGTGGTCACGGGCTCGACAGGTCAACAGGTGGGCAATAGCGTGGCCGACTTCAAGCTGCGGTTCTGGAGCAAGGGAAGCTTTGAGCTGACCAAGACACTCATGGACCATCAAGGCCCGATTCGACAGCTTGTCTTGGTGCCGGATATTGGTTTCATGAGCTGCTCGAACGACGGATCGATCAAGATCCGGACACTGGATGGTGATGTGGTAGTAAGTATGGAGCACCCAATGAATGCAGAAGGCAAACCAGGCTTTGTGCTGGGTGTTTGTATGCTGACCAACGGTCTCGTGGTGTCTGCGAGCGAGGACTGCACAGCGCGTGTGTGGTCGACGGATGGCGCTCTTGTGCAAACGGTTGAGCATCCTGGAGGATTGTGGTGCGTCACAGCTTTGCCTGATGGAGACTTTGCCACGGGCTGCGATGATAAAGTCGCGCGGGTGTTTACGCTTGACCCATCGCGAGTGGACTCGAATGCAGTGGCCTCATTCCAAGCGGCAGTGGAAGATGCCCGGATCGCAAAGACGCGCGGGCCAAGTGGCGTGGAGATCGAAGCGCTTCTCGATTACGACCAACGTGCGCAGGTTGCTGGAAAATCTGACGGTCAGATTCAAATGTTTCGTCGCGGCACCAAAGCTTGGGCATGTCAATGGAGCGGCCCGTCCAAGACTTGGATTGATGTAGGTTTCTCTTGGAGGGCAATGTTGAACTTTGCCGACTTGCATACAGAGCTAATGATGTTTGCGTAGATTGGCGAGGTGACCGGTACTGGTGGCGGTGGCGTAGTGGACGGAGAGGCGTACGATGTGGTGGTGCCCGTTGAGATCGAGCTGCCTGGTGGTGTAAAAAAGCTTGAGATTGGATACAATCAGGGCCAGAATCCGTTTACGGTGGCGCAAGAGTTCATCGACAAGCACATGCTAGACCAAGCTTACCTTCGTGAAATTGCTGACTATATCACGCAACGTGTTGGTGACTACCGACCTGCTGTGCTTGGAAATGACGATAGTGTGAATGCTACCGCTAGCTGCATGGTCACCAATGAGTCATCTGGTTCAGCTCACCGTTACAAGTACTTTCCTGTGGTACGCACTCTTGTGTTTGGTCCAGCTAGCAATACCGTACCTCATTGTGCTATGCCGTCTATGTTCCAATTACCAACAGTCCGGGTACAACACGTTCGAAACAACCAAGATTTCAAAGCTCATGAGCATGATGCGGCAGTTCAACGACAAGATGACGGAGACTGAGGTATGTACGCTCGATGCACCGTTTTGGTCAACAGAAGCTAAACATGGAGTCGTTGCTCTAACGCATCATTATTGCAGGAGGAATCCGTCGTTCTTGCCGACCCGCAGCTGATAGCGCTCGACCAGATCGTTCACACCGTCCAGAATACTGCATTCTATCACAGTAGCACGTTTACCGCTTCCGAGATCTCCGCACTGAGAAGCGTTCTGGACAAGTGGCCAGCGAAATTGGCTTTTCCGATTTTGGATCTTCTCCGGCTTGTGCTGATACACCCCCATGGCCCAGTAGCATTAGGTGCTGCCGGACTGAACTCGCTCGTCACGACAACGCTCAGCTTGGGATTGCACCCAGGTTCCCAGGACGGAGATGAAGCGATACCTGTCGCAACACGCATGTTATCGCTGCGCGTTCTAGCAAACATGTTTTTGCATGATGCGGCTCGTGAGGTCATTCTGGCTCACAAAGACGAAGTGCTGAGTCGATTGCCGTCATTCCAGGCCTTCCACAACAAGCTTGTGGCGCTCAGCCTCTCGACCGTTCTGCTGAAGTGAGTATTCCTACTACTTGACGTTGGAGCGAAGTGATGTGAAATCTAACCGCATATTGGCATTGATTACTCCTGCAGCTTTGCGCGGGCTCAAGTAACAACACCCGAGTTGCTGTCAGCTGGCGATCAAGTGACAGTGATGTCATTGGCCGCGGATCTACTCAATGGTTCGTACACTGTCCAAGAGCTTGGCGACGACACAATTTTACGTTCGCTCGTCACCATTGGCACACTTGTACGTTTCGATCAGTATTCTGCATTCTCTGTGCATCAGATCAACTCTCAATTACAACTGCTTTTTCTGCAGGCGCTATCTGGCGATTCGACCGTCAAAGAAGCTGCGGGCGTTCACGCGGATATCTTTGCTGCATCAAAAGTAGCCCAAGTGACATCCTTGATCGTCAAAGAATGTTTTGCCGAGCTTCAGCGCATTCTCGGAAACTAAGTGGACCTCGAACAAGTCGACGGCACCGAGCCCAGCCTAACTTTCGAAACGTAATGAAACTATGCAGCTTTGCGCGCGTGGTGCAAGTTTGTTTTGCTGGTGACGGTGGCCATTGTTTTGTCATTTCCCTCATGCAAAAAAAGAGCAACAATCGGTAGCTCATCGAGTGCGCGTATCAACGGTGCGTAACCGGTCTTCGTGTTTTTTCTGCTGAAAGGGTTAAGAGACTAGGTAGATGTGTGGAAGTGGACTAACCTGAATTGTTGCTGTTTTTGTAGTCCGGCTCTCCGGCGATAGAGGTCGGTTGTGTCAACCCGACGACGCTTGCTCTTTCGCGTCACGTGCGATGGCGATGGTAACGGCGATGATACCGTTGCGCAAGTCGATAGTGGAAGGAGTGCGTATGATCTGCTTCTGGAATCTGTCCTATTTGTCACGAGCCCGTATAGCTTCCAGCTGACGAGTGAAGCACTAGATCATTGAGATGGGCGCGCATGTGGGACGGCACGTCAAGACCGAGTCGACAGAAGTGACTCAAGCCACTGTTCCTGGATTTCGATGACGAGCACGACGATGACGACGACGATGACAAGTTCGAGTGGTTGCAGCTCTTCTCGGAGCTGCAAGTCCCGGTGGCGTCTCCAGGCCAGTGAATTGGCTGGAACCTTTCTGGAATGGTGATGGTCGCTGAGCGGACCGGTGGCTCACTGGCAGTGTCCGTCTTGTTTTCGTTGGAATAAAGGGTGACCTCTTCTTGTTGCTGCCGATGGCATTGTCTTCCTGATGTCCGATGCAATGACAAGTTGTCCATCAGACACGCAGTTGCGGTCACAGAGCGCTCCTGAGCATTCGACTTAAGTCGCTTGGCTATGGGATGGAACACCTGTGTACATGGCACTTCAAGCGTCTTGCGCTTGCGACTATGAAGAACTGACAGGACGTCGACATTGTCTTCTAGCTTCAGTATCTCATCTTCTTGACCGGCCACCTTCGTGCTTTCAACAGACTCTCGACGCTCTAGAATAGCCGCGACTGGATTGGCCGGACGCTCGATACCCACGCCGTCGATGGAGTAGAAGATCTCGGTATTATCGCGCCCTGATCGCGTTGAAAGTGCCTCCTCGCTCTGTTGCTCGAAAGCAAACATGAGCTCCTCGTCCTCCTCTTCGTCTTCTTCTCGTTTGCTCAAGTCAGCGGGTTCGAAGTCGCAGCTCATTGATAATAGATAAACGAAAAAACACAACCCAAATTGGACGACGACACAGTGGCGGATTCCGCTTGGACCGTCCAGTTGACTCGAGGGTTTTAGTGCGTCTTGCGGAATGCAGATGGTAGTCGGTTGGCGCTTGCAAAGCACGATCGCTTTTCACGAGGAACAACTTGCTATTTGTACAATGGCTGAGAAAGAAGAGACAAGTCACGGATCTCTTGAGTCTACTTGATCGGAGATCAGCAGCAACACGACACACGCTGGTGCAATTGCTACGAGACTGTGACGCTCAGTCGCTTATGTTTCGACAAACGTAACGCGGCCGTCCCGACAAGTTCAAGACTGAGGTAATCCATTTGCTCTAGCGAGTTCAGTTTGTCAAAAAGTGATCAGTACTAGCTTCAGTGGGTGGGAGCAATCTATTTGGGATCCAAGACGCTCGATTTTTTGCGTCCTTCCCACCACGCGATTGTTCTACAAGACGATCGATCATGATTTTTTTGCTGGACGTGACACCGTTTTAGCCTTCTCGCCTGAAGAAAGCCCGTTCGGCTCAGCAAGCCATGCTCGCGGTACAAGAAAGAGGAAATACTGACGGTCGTCTTTTGGATGGATTCCACAAGGCGCTATGTCTGCACTGACTTTCAGGCCGGTTCGGCGTCATCGAGCGATGTGCGTGCACCGTTGTGCATCGCAACATCGTTATCACCTGTCACTTGCAACCGACAATTCGTGGCAATGAGTGAACGTTTTGCGGAAGCGGTGAATAGTAACTGTCCCTCCAGACGCCATGAGTGATATGAGATGGAGGCGGGAATAGCATTCGTGTGCAAACTTTATCGTGGACAAACTACGAACACGTCATCCGTCAATTATTCGGTCAGCCCCTGCGTCGGCTCCGGCATCGTACGCTTTAGCAAGCGCTTCCATTTTCCATGCTTTTCGCTCGCAAGTGTATAACAGTTTCTGGTGACGTCAGACAATCTCTGACCAGTCAATGACCCGGCGTGGGATAGTTGCACTGTGCCATTGATACCGCTGCACCGGTCGGACAATCGTCAAACAATGTCTACTAATCGGCTCAGTGGAGTCAGGCCATCGCTGCGAAAGTGATTGATATGTCGACCATTCACATGCAACGTGTATATTCAAGACATTACACGGGATTCGACTCTGATGCCAATTCGTTACCGACGTCGAACGTGCTGCTGTACAACTTGTTGTCGCTGTTCTTGCACAAACGTGCAACTAGTTGACATTCCTGCAGAAAGCCAATACATAACGTAACGACCAGACGACATCTAATTGGATGCGAATGAGATAGTGTTATCAAATTTCAGTATCCCTGCCTCGCTATTATATTCTTGCGGCAGACAAACTCATATCATAAAACTCCCATATTTATTAGGCACATATAATACAACCGATAAAACATTCCCAATTTTCTTGGTACATCACCTGAAGGCCTGCCTCAAATTTACAACCGTACACATCGGCAGCTGTACGTCTGTGTCACGCATACGGCATCAAGACATATTGGACAGCCGAGCTGGTTAACACATGTTTGCAGCTGCATCACCGTAACCGCATTGATGTCAGGGATCTCCTCTCCTGCCCCCACACAAGTGACATGAGGTTGACGATGGACTAGAGTGCACCCCGTACTCGATAGAGTTCATTATGGGACCATCTCCCCGCTTAGCAGTTAGTCTAAGTATCAAGTGTACGAACTAGCCGTGGTATTAGTATTACAAAAACGGTTAGTCGGCAGCAAAAATGGCAGCCTAAACAGACCCACAAGTCACATCTGCTTGCAAGCGCTCATCGTTTCCACTTTTGAGCTAGCACAACTTGCTTGTACAATTTGCCGATGCCAGCATCACGAAAACAGATGTACGATCGGCTTACAAGCGCGCTTAACGCAAACGCCATCAAATAGCGACGTTATGTATAGACGATGTTATTTTTGGCAGGCCACGAAGGTTTTAAAGGCTAAGTTTGAGACCTGTTACTGACTAGTTCCGACCTCACTTGATTGGCCGTTGAGTGACATCTAGACAGATTTGACAAGAAGGCGTCAACGAGGTGACAGATAATAACGAAGAGAGGCGGACTCAGTGACAAGCTAGCACACGATGTAGAGATTCGAACGCCATATGTAGCTAGACACGGTAATGTTGTAGCTTCGATGATGATGCATGTCGTTGTGTTGACAAACGAGAGAAGTTAACACTCATTATACTTTACGTATGCTTCTACCTCTCCTGCGCTAAATGCACAATACATAAAATTCCTATAAGGCGAGCATGGTACTTTATGATAGCGTCTTGTGTTATGGTATGAGTCTACTACATGTCGTTGACCTTAGAATTAGGTCAATGGAAATTTAGTCTTAATAATGATTTTTCCAATGCATATATACCTAAAAAAGATATTGTGATTTAATATTAGAAATTACGTCGAATGTAGCGGAGCTACACAGCTCCTTAAGTCAGAGGAATACTTAACGCTCGATGAGCAACTTTGGTTCTACGAACCCTACTCAAAGAGTCAACAGCTCCGAGAGCTAAGGTTTGGTTCAAAGAACCCGACTCAAAGAGTCAACAAGCTCAGAGAGCTTACGGTCCCTGTTCCAGGGGGACCAAACGATTCAAATAATCAAACGCACTGAGTGCACAAGGAGTAGCTGCCTTAACAAGGCGTTGCTGCTTCCTTAACGATCGCAAGACGCCTCAGAGAGGCACGTGTCTTTTGTTGATCAAAATGGGAACTGAATTTTATTTCTTCTTTTAATCTAAAAGAACACCTTAGAACAAAGTATTTAACCTCCTCGTTATTGTCATAAATAAACCTATTAAAAGATCTCGTAAACAATGGTTGACAGACATCAGTCTTCAACAATTAATACTGTGTTCGAATATTACTTTACAGGGGATCCCATCCCTTGTGTGTACCACACCTATTGTCGACTATCAGTCGACGTGTAAACCCGTTACATCCTCCCACACCAGACTGACGTTTCCACAAAACGTTAATCGAATTCTTTCATCGAAGAGGACGGTGTGTGTGCGCTTCAACCTTACGGTTGGCAAAACACAAAACACCATGGCATCGCCGCCCCATGATTCCTCGACTCTCTCGTCCTACCTCGGCATCGATGTGGAGGTGGATTATGGTAGCGATACCGATATCCGTGGTGAAGAGAGGACAATGTCCGACTTAACAGTGCAAGAGGCACCGCCTCATACTGCACCAAACCCATTTGCCGAGCGTGGCGAAGCCAACGCGCCATCGGCGCCGCATCAACACTCATCGTGGGCGATGCCATCATCACCAATCCGCTCGATGAGCAACAAGAGTTGGCTATCCAACGAGAGGAGAGCGCTCAGCGCCGTATGCAGCTTGCTGCAACCCTTGAGGGTCGTCGTGGCTATCTGTTCACCCCACTCAGTGTGGAAGAGCGTATACGCCAAACGACAGGTCGTTCTTTGGCAACGTGGGCCATTGGCGCTGAGCCAACATCTTCTGATGAGGTGGTGAGTCGACAGGTACTTTGCGAGAGGTACCTGCAACCTCACTTGACGACTCAGAGTCAATTCAAGTTGTGACTTGACACGCAAGCACGGGGTGCACCGGCTCCACCGATGAAGTATATACCCATCCTCCTATTCGCAGGCGAATCTCAGGAGGAAGAAGACAACGCTTTTACTCGCTGGGTGCATCGGAAACGACACCTCAGCAGCGTGTTAGCTCTCCGAGCAAGCGCCGATGTGGCAGATGTTCGTCTAGAACGAAAGCTTCGGTATGATTACGCCAATCTTAAGGCCAGAGGCCAGTTGCGAACTCGCACACGCAATGCTCCGGCTGTACCGATTGATGAGGGTGTTGGTCAAGCGGTACCTAACTACCCACCTGCCTCCACCACTACTGGTGAGAAGCGCTCTTGGTCGAGGGATGACCCTTGCCACAATGTTAAAAACATCAACAGCGTATGGTCAATCCTGCTGAAGGGGTGTCTCAAACTCCCACGAGTTCTCCGACTCCGCAAAACCCTCTCCATTTCACCAGATACTGGTATTGACCCTGACGACGACGTCGTTTCAGAATTTGCTCCACGTGAAACTGGCGGTTTCCTTGCTCATCGAGAAGCGTCGGAGGTAATTGGTATACCGAAGGAGGATCATGAGAAGGTGCTTCTCAAGCTGAGTGGCCTCCGTGAGACATTGGGTAAGACCCAGAGTGCGTTTGACGCGTTGCGAGCCCGTGTCCAGGCGTTAAAGTTGGGCCAAGCCCGGATGGAGGCCCAGCTTGACCTCCTGATACGGATTCGGCAACCGATGGCAAGGCCAACCTATGCGGCGCAAGCGCCTCCAAGTCGACGTGGGACGGATCCCGATACGGCTTAAGCAAGCTAACGTAGAACACAGGGTGTGTGCGCAGTTTGCGCGGAAGATTGAGCGTAAACGCAAGTCCCTTCTTGGCGACGACCGTAAATGGTCCAATGAAGTGCGGACGCCACTTTGTCCTAATGAAGGCGGACACAACGTATGTAGGTAGGTTTTTAGCATTGAGTAGACCTTGGTATCCGACCTCATAACGTTCAATACAACCTCTGCCTTTAGCATCAGTTTGTTCCTTCTGCTTGTCTTGGCTATCATCCAGTGCGTCACGCACATTTCGCAAGACATTTGATCGCGTTGCGAATAAACTCGCTTACCTGTTTTTGAAAAGTAGCAGGGCTGATATCGGCAAGCCTATCGGCAACTCCTCCCCGACCAAGCCCTGAACCACGCAGTGGTAGCGTTAACGGAACGCGAGGGTGTGTGAGACCATTCACATAATACGGTGTGTAGCCGGTGGAGGCATGCACGGCGTTATTCAACGCAAACTCAACGACAGGGAGCATCTAACTCCAACGCTTAGGCGTTTCAGCGCAAACACTGCGCAAGATGTCACCGGTGATGCGGTTGACTCGCTCGGTTTGACCATCTGTCTGCGGATGATCC